CAAGAATGGCAAGACTTAGTCTCAGATACTTTGGACATGTTATCAGGAGGGATCAGTCCCTGGAGAAGGACATCATGCTTGGTAAAATAGAGAGTCAGTGAAAAAGAGGAAGACTCAATGAGATGGATTGACACAGTGGCTGCAACAATGGGCGTAAGCATAACAACGATCATGAGGATGGCGAGGATGGCGCAGGACGGGGCAGTGTTTTGTTCTTTTGTACGTTGGATGGGGCAGTGTTTTGTTCTTTTGTACGTTGGGTCACCGTGAGTTGGAACTGACTCGACAACATCTAACAACAACAACTTGTTTAATCCATCTGGAATTTTGGTGAGAAGTATAAGAGTATATTAAGTAGGATTCCAGTTTCACTAAGAAAAGTAACCTATGTCTATATCAAATATATATATGCATATAAATTTCTAAAATAGAAGGAAATAAACCAAAATGTTTGCAGTGATTAACTCTGACAAGATTAGGAATTTTTAATTTTTTTCTTCATTCTATTTTGTGTATTTTCAGGGCTTTCTACATTGGATATAATTTATAGGTATAGTCAGGTAAACAAAAATTTGGAGACGTTCACTCTGAATTTATAATGATGACTAAACCTCAATTTATAATCCCATTTTAAGAAAGTACTGTTAATTACATGGATGCTTTCTTTTTTGCAGTTTAAATTTGAGGTTACTTATTCAGTTTTTTTCTGATTCTTTCCCAAGGTAGAGCATATGTACTGTTAGTGGACGACAAGAAGCATAAATCCCTTTAGTTGGAGGAAACCAGATAGATTTAATAAAGATAATTTGTAACTTGCTGTGAATTCTTGAAGTCCAAAGGACTACTCTGTTTTCATAGTACTGTTGAAAAAGCCACGAAACCCTATTCCCTGAGCCAGTACAAATTTCTTGTTACTGTATTTCGGCTTTACTGTTCCTTGGCATTACTTTGTTGTCTTTTAACTGCAAGAACATTTTACACACAACATATTAAACTTGTTCCCATTTTCATTAAGTTGCAGTCCTACTTCATTCAGTCCAACCTTTTGCCTTTTACTCTACAGCTAAGATTGAGGACTCTTGTTTTACTAATGATTATTGTCTCAGAACAAAATGATCATAATGTTATTGATTTTATTTGGCGATATTCTACTATCAGAACAATTCATTAAATAAATCAGTGAAACTAAGTACACTGAGTACATTTCAAATATCAAAATTTATAAATAAGTCATGAAACAATATTTATTAAAAATAAAGTTGTTAAACATACACTAAAAAATACACTTACAAAAATGTAATTGTTAAATATATATTATCATTCTAATAGAATTAGTAACAAAAATGAAGTATTATTTAAAAAGAACTAAATCATCTACAAATAAAGACATAAGAATGAAAACTTACAATATTATTTTTTATCTTAATGCAATTTTTAAAATCCAAGTTTATCCATGGTATCGTTGTTTAAATTGCATGTATATTTTTGTGCACATTTTTCCAGCTTTTGATAAGGCTTTTTTTTTTTTACTTCATACGAGTAAAGGTGAAGAGACAGCTGTAAGCCAATTCTAAGCATTTTCCTGGAACTCCTTTATCTTCCAATAATCTCAGTTTTGGTAATTCTTTTTGGTAACTTTTGTTAAACAACATTGTTTTTGTTTTTTTGCAGGGACAGCAGTCTTTTTCTTGGTAGCAAGCTGTAGATTTTGTTTCAAAGAAAGCATCTTCATCTTCTCTAGTTTCATCATGTATAGATGGGGATTCCGATGCAGGTATCTGTATCAATTTCACATGTGTGTTCATTTGAACTCTAGTCTTTGAACTAGAATAGACATTTATTTATTTGATTGTCATTTTGTTCTTTCTCTTGAAGATCATGAGAGTATAAAAGAATACTTTCCAAATGAGGGTGCTTTTTTGTTTTTACAGTTTTTCATTTTGGAATTAAAATTTTTGAGTATAGAAGAGTTTTATTCAGCACGTTTTTTAAATTACAAGTTGTTGATTCCGCTTTCAAGATATTAGTAATTTGGATTTCAGACATTAAGATACTGAAATAGTCATGTTTGCACCAGTAAAAATACTGTTACTTCATTACTTACTGTGGTATAACACTGCATAACTGAATAATGTAATATCAAAATTGGAATTTTAGTCACTATATAAGACCTCCTATATACATCTAAACATTTGTTTTTATACCCATACTTTGCCTTTCTTCATGTATTGGACAAAATTATCATATTTTCCATATCCCATCTCTGTGTCCATCTTCCTGTTTCCCCGATCTTCAGTACTTTCCTTCCTCAGTATCTTCATTTTCTCCCTTTCCATTGGTTCCTTTGTCTGTTAACACGTTTACAGTTTTCTCTTATTCTGAAGGAGAAAAAAAGAACATTCATTTAATCCTACCAACCGGTTACATTAGTTTTGGTCCTGTTCTTCAGTCTTCAGTGATTAAATCCAACTTGTAACTAGAGGATTAGCTGCTTTTTCACTTTGCTTTAGTCTTCATTATCTAGCTTCAGTCCCTCCCTTTTGTTTTTTTAAATTCTGTTTTGGAAGGATACCTGTAACCTAGCTAATTGCTAAACGTAGATGTGTTTTTCAGTCCTCTTTCAATACTACTAACTCTCCACTTTTTTTTTTTTAAATAAACATACATGTTGGGACAGTGGATCTTTAGATCTTGACAGTGTTGGTGGTTTTGAAATGAGTCCTACCCTATTTTGTTTGCATGAACTTGGGAAAATTATTTAATGCTATTGAGCCTCACGTTCTCCTCTTGTGTTAAAATGGAACGCTGTATATGGGAATACTTGGTAGCTGAATGGTAGTTCAGTGGATGGTTGTTGCCCCTAACTTGACCTTTGTGATACTCCACAGCCTAGCTCTCTAAATATCTAAGATAAGTTTTTTTTTCTTCTTTTTATTTCCTCCACTCCCTTTCCTAAATATAGACGTTCTCTAAGGCTCATTTTTTGAACTTCATTTCTTTGCCTTCTCTCTTGAAAATCTCATCTACTTGCAGAACTCTAACTGATAAATGTAGGCTGTTGGCAACCAGATATATACCTGGAGGCTGTTCTGGCCTAAACTCAGGTGATCCTTTTTTTCTTTTTTTTTTTTTCCAACTTTTACAGGCATACAATTAATATATTGACAGCAATTAGAATAATTGGCTGTGCAGCTCTACCCTTAATCAGTGCGATTTTTCCATCACCATTAACCCACATTTCCCTACCCCTCTGCTGCCCCTGGTAACTACTAATAAACTTTGGTCTCTATACATTTGCCTTTTCTTGTCTTTTTGTGTAAGGGAGGTCATATGATATTTGTCCTTTGTGACTGGCTTATTTCACTCAGCATAATGTCTTCAAGCTCCATCCATACTGTAGCATGTATCAAGACTTTATTTCTCCTACCGGCTGAGTAGTATTCCATTGTATGCATGTACTACATTTTGTTTATCCATTCATCTTTTGATGGGCATTGAGTTTGTTTCTTCCACCTTTTGGCTATTGTGAATAGTGCTGCTATGAACATTGGTGTACAAGTATCTGTTTCAGTCTCTGCTTTTGAGTCTTTTGGGTATATTCCTAAGAGTGGAATTGCTGGGTTATATGGTAGTTCTATTTTTGGTTTTTCACACAGCTGTACCATTTTGCATTCCTACCAGCAATGGATAAATTTTCCAATTTCCCCAAATCCTTGCCAACATTTGTTGTTTTCTGCTTTTTTTATCTTAGCCATCTCAGTGGGAGTGAAATGGTATCAAATCATGGTTTTGATTTGCGTATTTCTGATGGCTGTTGAGCTGAGTATCTTTTCATGTGTTTGGTGTCCATTCAAATGTCCTCTTTGGTTAAATGTCTATTCAAGTCCTTTGCCCATTTTATGATTGGGTTGTTTGTCTTTTTGTTGTTAAGTTGTTGAAGTTTTATATATATTTTGGTTTTTAGATTCTTGTCAGATATATGGTTTCCAAAGATATTCTCCCACTCAGTAGCTTGTCTTTTCACTTGTTTGGTAAAATCTTTTTTTTTTTTTTTTATTGTACTTCAGGTGAAGGCTTACAGAACAAATAGTTTCTCATGAAACAGTAGTACACATATTG